GGTCAAATTTTTATTAATAAAAAAATTTCCATATTGAGCAAAAATCGGGCGTTACTTTTGTTGGCTACTGTACGTACATGTACGTACGTATTATCAACATTTATGGATTAAGAAATTTGCATAATATAATTTTAATTCATAGACAAATTAAAATAATTTATTATTTAAATGCTTAATGCTAACATGCAAAGTATATACAATATATTGCCTAAAGCTAAGATTTGAAGTAACGTATATATCGATATAACTAGGTATACTATCCAGTTAATGAATTTGTGCCATAAATAAATCTTATAAACCAAATTCGAAGAACAATTTATTTATTCCTCTCCATTTCAGTTTCCTATTATGAAAAAATATATGTGCAAAGCATTAAGAAGAGTATCAAACTTATAAACACTATCTCACTAGAAAACTTACGCCTTTAATTTTAGTGGCGGCACCTTCAGCTTCCATTCGCTTATCGCCAATAGTTGCGCCAACCTGTCGGTTTATTTATTAGTTTCTGAGCTTAAAAAAAAGAAGGCGAATATCTATGTATATAGAATAATGCCTACTTGTTCCTGTACTGCTCCTTTAACCTTGTTTCCAGCACCACTAACATAATCGGTCATTTTGGCCGCTTCCAATTCCTCATTTCCCTTTCTACGTTGTTCAGCACCTGACTTCTCCAAACTGGTATGTCCAATAGCGGATCCGATTGTTTCCTTAACCGCACCCACGGTCGCATTGTAATTGGCATTGAATTTTGATGGTGGTGCTTCCTTAATTGCGGCATCATATTCTGCGTTGCCTTCAACTTGAGCAGCTTGACCTGAAGCTTTCAAGGATTCGTTACCGACTAAGTCGCCAACTATTTTAATTTAAAATGTTAATATTAAAAAAAAAATACATTTTCTTTTTTTGTTTTGACAAACATTTTCATGTCAAAAAATTTTGATTACCAGTTTCCTTGGTAGCGCCGGTATAGTAAGTAGCACTAGCGTTGAGTTTACTTGGTTGTTCAGACATTTTTGCAATTGGAAGATTGGTTTTGATAATTTTCTGCTTACTGAAATCAATTCACCTTTATATATTTTTTTTTGAAGTTGATTTCGTCATTACTACAATTAACTTCGTTTACAATTATTATTATATTTGAACTCACGCTAACTATTTTCGAATAGGTACTGTTATCACCTTAACAAAAATTACGTATTAAGTCTCGTTAATTACGTAACCGTTAAGACTTAATATTGTCATTATGATATAATCGTATATATATATCCGTATATATTTATTCATATAATAACAACAGGGGCCGAAACTAACATTTTTTCATTTGTTGTACTAATGCCTTAAATTAAAGTCATGGTTTGTTATGTGTTGCCAAAAATAAAAAATAAAACTTTAGGCTTTCGCGTTGATCATTTTTAAGATTTACTCCTGACGATAACGTACAGTACGTATACGATACGTAATCACTCAGTGTTGGTAAATAATTCTTTTTTTTTTTTATAAAAAATTCATTCTAACAATTCGAATATGTTTCTACGTATAATAATTTGATACGTATACATATACATACGTACATATATGCAGATTATCGAGAGGGTATCTGATTGAAAACATTATAAACTATATTAGCAAAAACAAACTTAATGGATTAAATTTTTTGTCATATTTGGCAGGTTATCGGTTTTACGTAACAGGATTAGTTTTGAAAGGTTCAACAGTATTAAAATTTTCTAATACGTAGTGCAATAGAGGATAATAAACAAAACTTCCAATAGAACAATAGATAACACCAATAAGATTTTTCATGGGCTGAATCTTACCAGTTGAAACATATTATACTGTAGTTTACTAAGGTGCCTACTACATATAGTAATTTTACATACGTAATTTTTATGTAATTTGATGTAATTTGCGTAAGTTTCAATAAATTAGTCTGTAATTTGTATTTCACGTGATACACAATTTGCATATCAAATGATGTAACGGTAATACTGCCGAGCTTTGTAAAGCAACAGTCCTAGCATCGCCCATAAAAATATATATATCTGACGTCATATATTCAATTGTATATATGGGTTGTTACGTATAATTTTTGAGTTCATGCTTTTTACTATACAATTAACACTTATAACCAACTTTTTATATATATCTTTCACAATTTACGAATCGATTGGCAATTACAACTTTTATCATTATATTGTCGAAAAAAATTGGCTGATCAAATATTTGCCAATTTAATGTTTGTGATTTTAGTAATAATTGTCGCAGATTATAATGAAATTGGATTAAAATGAAATGAAGGGTTTTTATTTGAGTTCCTAAAACCCACTTATACTTGTTTATTATAAAATCTGCTTCTAAACCCTATTCCTAACTTTAAAAAAAATCTAAAAAAATGCACCCCAAAAATTTGTATTTTTCAGTAGTTTGTTTATTTTACACTATCTCTTATTTTATTTTAATCTGGTTTTATTTTAATTTGTCACAATAATTGCCATTGAACCAGAATTTATTAAGTCAATAAATTATTAGTTAATTAATTTTTTACTAGATATTTTAGAATAGAGATTAAAACAAGTTTAATAATTTAGATTTATTATGTAAATTTTGGAATATTTTAGATTTTATTAATGGTTTGAATTTATTATACTAAAATTAATACAGTACAAAAAATTGAATTTAGTATTTTTTTAAAATTATTTATTTAATAATTTTTTAAAAAATTATATATATATTTTAATATTATTAAAAATTTTTAACTTTTTTTGATAATTACTTATACCAATTGTTATCTAATCACAAATTAAAGACTCAAGGCTTAAAAGTTTAAATTACCTATTGTTCTTATTTACAAACTATTGTAAATAAAGTTTTAAAATATATATACTGTATATTTTTTTCAGTATTAAGGTGAAGTTATACCTTATGTATTTTTATTAAATCATAAGTCTGTATATTACTATACAACCTTGTTGCTCACTTATATATCTACTAACTAATTAATCTAAGAATGCTAAACTCAGACTATTTATTTGTGATCTAAATTTACCAGAACCTTAATGTCTGATCTGAATTTTTGTATACTACTCCTGTCAATCAATTTCTTATTTAGAGATTCACTGCATTTCTCATATTAACAATATTATACTTCCAGCTTGATACTTAGTACAGTATTTATTACAGATCCCATTAAGAGGTACTTGGTAATTATAGCTTTATAGTTACTTCTAATATTAGTAATTTAGTTCATATAATGTTGATCATATGTATGCAGATCTTGCTAACAGATACTTCTCAAATTGTTATATTATTAGATTAGATATCAAAACTTCCACTCGAGTTTTTTATGATAGGATCATTTCTAAATTAAAGGTATTTCAACTTTCTTGATGCTTACTAATATTGGTATTCTGTGTGTTACATTTTATATTACTACTTTCAGTTAGATACAACCTTGCTGTTTCTTATTATATTTTACAATAAATATACTCCAAGTTGCCTGCCAATCTTTTTCTATTTTAGATAATCTATTTTTTAACTTAATATTGTATAGAATACCAGAGGTATTTTTAATTCTGATAGGTTATCCTTGTATTTACTACTTTTCTTAATGCTCCAGTTTTGTTATTATCATATCATTCTTTCAAGCAAGTATTCTAACTACTAGAAATGTTGGTACTGTTCTTATTATCCCTAATTGAAGACTTATATGTGCAATCTTCATATAACAGAACCTTCTGTAAGAACACGCACATTGGCAACACTCCACAATTGGATCTCTTTCCAGAAATTTTTTTTTCTGATCTTATACATATACTTAGACTTAGCTACAGGGTTCTATATTCGAAATAGCACTCCTTTTTTTTGGGTTACAGAAGATTAAAACTTTTTAAATTTTATGCCTTCAGGTAAAGTCAAACTGTCAACCTTATTTGTGAGAGTTTGACAATTTAATCAGTAAACTATAGAGCTTAAACTCCTTTAAAATATATTGTAATACATCAAAGAAAAATATTCTAAATATAGTTAAACCTCTTTAAATACACATTGTTAGAACTAGTTTTAAAGTATATATTTAAGGAGGGTTGCAATCAAAGAACACTAATAAAATCACAATGTAACTATTATTACATCATAAATATAACTTTAATATCTTAAAATAATAGATTTAATTAATTAAAAATTATATAGATGCATTTATAGAGAGAGTTTTTATAAGTAGGTCAGACAATTAATATGCATTTATAAAATAAAAATATATATTTATCTATAAGTTCCACCATGGACCCAAGCTTATATCATATATTTAGAGAATGCTATATTTAAAAAGAGTGTATTTAGGAAGGTTTAACTATAGTTTGCATAGAAGTTAAGTATTTTTTTTTGTTATTAAATAGACTCTCTTATGCATTTAATATTCAAATTAAAAAAATTTTTAAAAAAAATAAGTATACAAAATATAAATAGTGAAAAATATTAAATAACAAAAAAGATACTTACTAATTTGCAACTTACAAAACTTAACAATATCTTTTACTATTATTTTTTATTGAATTTTTAATAAAAAATAAAGAATTTAGTTTATTCTACTAAAAGATTAGCAATATTTACTATTTATATTAAGAAAGTTTAAATATATATAATGAATAAAAAATATAACAAACATGTAAAATTACCAATAATATCAATAAAAACAGGTTGTAACAAATTTTAGATTAATCTGAATATAATATATTAGAAATGAAGACCCTTTAAAATAAACTTAAAAAAGTAGTTTTTAATAATAATTAGTTAATTTTAGAAAAGATACTTGTTTAATTTTATATAATATAGAGGATATATGGGGTGTCTCATATTAAAAAGGCCCATTTTGCAATTTTTTCGAAAATTGAGTTTTTATTAGATTCATGTAAATTTTAATGTGATTGATATTTTTTAATTATAAATGAAGGTCAATTTGCATAATAAAAAATGGAGATAATGTAAAAGAAAAATTACATGATACTGTTAAAGACCAGGCATATTACGAGATTACCCAATAGTTACCTGCTACCTTTAACTAATCAAAATCATGAAATTTACTTAATCTCAGATCAGTCCGAAAATCAAAAAAATGTTTAAACTCAATTATCTCAAAATAAACTATATAGCAAAATGGGCCTTTTTAATATAAGACACCCCATATTTTAAAAATAATCTGTAAAAGAATAAACAAAATTTGATAATAATAGAGAAATATAGAATCTTTTATTCAATACTTTAGATATAGTATAAGTTTAATAAAAAGAGTAGGACTCAGAATGGGCTAAGCTTAACCCAAAATATATAGGTTGAGTTGGGTTGAACTAGACCCAAGCTTAAATTTTAAGCTTGTAATTAATTAGATCAAATATAAGCTAGGTCTAAAATACTGAACTGGGTTTAAACTAAACTTAAAAATACTGAGTCAAGCTTAAGCTAGGCTTATAAAATATTGGGTTAGATTTAGACTGATTCATAAAACACAAGGATAGATTTGGATCAAGCCTGAATTTTATAAATATATTTGATAAAGCTTAATAATATTAATTAACTTTGCAAAAATTTAATAATTTCAAGATATGCAATTATTTGCCAATAATAAGCATTATTTAATTCATTATAATCTTTTAAAGCAATAATTTAGGTTTTTAATAATAAATTTTTAAAATATTAGAAAAACTTAAACCTAAAAAAATATCAAATATTAAAGTAATAATATTGTAATATTAATATAGTAAAATATTTATTTGTTATCAATATATATAACTTATAAAAATGAATCTTTAAAGCTTTTTTAAAGTAATAGTATTGTAATATTATTGTAACGATATTATTAAAATATATGACATATAAAAGCAAAACTTCAAGCTTTTTTTAAAACGCTAGTATTGCAATATTATTATCAAGATATTATCAATTTATTAGCACTATATTTCGCATATAAAATCTATATTATATTTGTTAAAATTTTATAACTATTCTATATAATAATC